AGAGTTTCACCATGTTCACCAGGCTGGTCTTGAACTCCTGACCTCAAGCGATCTGTCCGCCTCAGCCTCTCAAAGTGCTGGGATTACAGGCATGATCCACCATGCCCAGCAGAGGCTATTTATTTTGAGGTTGCTGAGGCCCAGAGAGGGAATGTGGCCTGTGTGAGGCCATGCAGTTCAGCAGAGGTCCTGGAGTCCGGGCTCGAGCTGTCTCTCTGTTCCCAGCTGTGTCCCATCCTGGGGGCTCATCATGTGGCCCGGAGACTGGGGTCAGAGGGAGCTGAGGACTGGCTTAGCACGGGCATTCACCCCCATGAACTCAACCTACACTCCAAAGAAGCCGTCCTGTCTCTCTGGGGGGCCTGTTTGAGCTAGGGACCCTCTGTGGACACTCGTAAGCCTGGGTGGGGCTACAGGTGAAGTCTGAACTTTTGGGTTCTCCAGGAAGAGGCTAAAGAGAGACAAGATCAAAGGATAACAAATCCAAAAATCATTTTCTTTTCTTTTGTTTTTGAAATGGAGTCTTGCTCTGTCACTCAGGCTGGAGTGCAGTGGTACAATCTTGGCTCACTGCAACCTCCTCCTCCAGATTCAAGTGATTCCCCTGCCTCAGCCTCATGATCAGCTGGGACTACAAGCACCTGCCACCACTCCTGGCTAATTTTTGTATTTTTAGTAGAGATGGGGTTTCACCATATTGAACAGGCTGGTCTTGAACTCCTGACCTCGTGGTCCACCTGCCTCGGCCTCCCAAAGTGCTAGCATTACAGGCGTGAGCCACCGCGCCCGGCCTGGACTATGGATTTCAAAGTTAATATATATATTTTTTTGAGACAGAGTCTCACTTTGTCACCCAGGCTGGGGTGCAGTGGCGCAATCACAAATCACTGCAGCCTCAATCGCCCCAGGTTCAAGCGATCCTCCTGCCTCAGCCTCCCAAGTAGCTGGGACTACAGGCATGTGACACTACGCCTGGCCAATTTTTTATTTTTATTTTTAATAGAGACAGGGGTCTTTCTATGTTGCCCAGGCTGGTCTCAAACTCCTGGGGTCAAGCAATCCTCCCGTCTTGGCCTCCCAAAGTGCTGGGATTACAGGTGTGAGCCACCATGCCCAACCCTCAAAGGTAATATTTTGGAATCAGAAATCTCCAGTGTGCGCCCCTAATGTTTTCCCCTCAGGCAGGAGAGACCAAACCCAGCGTTGTGACAGGACAGATGGAGCTTTGGAGGTGAATTCTCCACCCAACCGGGAGCAGCGAGGGGCCACGGGTCAGTCTACCCCGCCTCTGACTCTGTTGTTCTGATCTGCACATTGCGGGTAACACCCACACCTCGCAGGGTTATGATAAAGCTCCCAGCCCACAACGTGCCCACAGAGATGAGCCTAACCTCCCCCCACTCTGGGAATCTGATGTTCCTTTTGTTTTTTTTTTGAGGTGGAGTCACACTCTGTCATTCAGGCTGGAGTGCAGTGGTGCAATCTTGGCTCACCGCAACCTCCGCCTCCCAGGGTCAAGTGATTCTCCTGCCTCAGCCTCCCTAGTAGCTGGGATTACAGGCGTGTGCCACCATGCCTGGCTAATCTTTGTATTTTTAGTAGAGATGGGGTTTCACCATATTGGACAGGCTGGTCTTGAACTCCTGACCTCAGGTGATCCACCCACCTCGGCCTCCCAAAGTGCTGGGATTACAGGCGTGAGCCACAGTGCCCGGCCACTGACGTTCCTTTTCATGCCTCCAGCTCTGGCGCTGCTGAAGGTGGTGGGCAGGTCCCTTCCTGGACCTCGGCTGGACCCCTGCCCGGGGGGATGTGAATTCCTGCCTGGGTGCCTGTGAGTACCCCACGGGCTACCTTGTGGGTGGGACGGGTGGATGCATCTATAACCCCCAAGGCCGGAAGGCCCCCCCTCAAAGCCCAGTGTCTCCCCATCCCCTGGGCCCACATCCCAGAGTAGATGGCCCTGCCCGAGGGAGGGGTGGGGGCCACAGAGAGTGCTGGAGGCCAGATCTGTGCAACTTTACCACGAGCGAGATCTGGTTGGCCGATGCCACCGAATCCGGGTTAGAGGACGAGGAAGAGGAAGACGAGGAGGAAGAGGAGACAGAATTTCCTTCCGAGACCCGCTTTCTCTTGCGCTTGGGAATGCTGCTGTCTTTGGCTGGAAGGAGGGGAAAAGGTTGTTGACGCTGGCTTCGGGGGCCTGTCTCGGCCTCCTGAGCTCTCTGGGGAAGTCTTCTGTCTTGAGGTGTCAAGTCCCCCTTTCAGGATTTCAGGATTCTGATTCCTCGAGGTCAGGGCCCACCTGTCCAGCCTCCTTCCCAAAGCAAGCCCGAGGGCCCACTCTCCCGGCTCCTGCTCTTGCTGGCCCCCTGCTTTTGCTAACACCGTATCCTCATCCCCAGGTGGAACTCCTCCTCCCCAGCAGGCTCACCTCAGGCCTTAGGCCCTCCTTTTTTTTTTTTTGGAGACAGAGTCTCGCTCTGTCGCCCAGGCTGGAGTGCGGTGGCGTGATCTCAGCCCACTGCAATCTCCACCTTCTGGGTTCAAGCGATTCTCCTGCCTCAGCTTCCCGGCTAGCTGGGACTACAGGCGTCCGCCACCACACACGGCTAATTCGTTTTGTACTTTTAGTAGCGACAGGGTTTCACCATGTTGGCCAAGATGGTTTGATCTCTTGATCTCATGATCTGCCCACCTCAGCCTCCCAAACTGCTGGGATTACAGGCGTGAGCCACTGCGCCTGGCCTGTTTTTTGTTTTTTTGAAGATGATGTCTCGCTCTGTTACCTAGGCTGGAGTGCAGTGGCACGATCTCGGCTCACTGCAACCTCTGCCTCCTGGATTCAAGTGATTCTCATGCCTTAGCCTCCCAAGTAGCTGGGATTACAGGCATCTGCCACCACACCTGGCTAATTTTTTTTTTTTTTTGAGATGCAGTCACGGTCTGTTGTCAGGCTGGAGTGCAGTGGCGCGATCTCGGCTCAGGGCGACCTCCACCTCCTGGGTTCAAGTGATTCTCCTGCCTCAGCCTCCCAAGTAGCTGGGACCACAGGTGTGTGCCACCATGCCTGGCTAATTTTTTGTATTTTAGTGGAGATGGGTTTCACCATGTTAGCCAGGATGGTCTCGATCTCCTGACCTCATGATCCGCCCACCTCGGCCTCCCAAGGTGCTGGGATTACAGGTGTGAGCCACTGTACCGGCCAATTTATTTGTATTTTACTAGAGATAGGGTTTCACCCTGTTGGCCAGGCAGGTTTTGAACTTTTGACCTCAAGTGATCCATCCACCTCGGCCTCCCAAAGTGCTGGGATTACAGGCACGAGCATCTGGCCTATATTGCTTTTTAGGGTCTCACTGTGTTGTCCAGGCTGGAGTGCAGTGGCACAATCGTAGCTCACTGTAGCCTCCAAGTCCTGCGCCCAAGCACTCCTCCCACCTCAGGCTCCCGAGTAGTTACGGCTATAGGTGTGCACCACCATGCCTGGCTCACTTTTTGAATTTTGTATCATTATGTTGCAAAACTCCCAGCCTCAAGCAGTCCTCCTGCCTCAGCCTCCCCAAATGCTGAGATTATAGGCACGAGCCACCGTGCCTGGCTCACGGCGACAATATAAATCGCTTTCTCAGTTTCTGAGGATTTGCTGGATGCTGGGCACTGTGTTAGATTCTTTGCACATTATCTCCTGAGATCCTCCCAGCAGGCTCTCGGTGTTGGATCTCCCAAGATGCTAGTCACATTTCACACATGAGCTCCTGAAGGCTCAGGGCTGTTACGGGACTTTCTCCAAGGCCCAAATTTGCATGGCTCTAGAGGCCACGTTCTTCCCTGGGCTCTTTAAGGCAGGGAGGGGATGTGGGGCCCAGGAGAGGCCCTGGGAGTTCTGGGTAGGCTGGGACTGCGGGCTGGGTGGTTCAGGGAGGGTATAAAGAGGACCTGGGACTGCAGGTCATGGCTCACGTCAGTAATCCCAGCACTTTGGGAGACTGAGGTGGGTAAATCGCCTGAGGTCAGGAGTTTGAGACTAGCCTGGACAACATGGTGACACCCCATCTCTACTAAAAAATACAAAAAAACTGTACTGCTATGGTTATCACCTACGTATGGTGGCCCTGAGTGGAGCATGCACAGGTACAAGTAGACAGGCAGTGCCCCAGTGAAAGAAACTCTGGCTTAGAAGCAGAAGTCCCAAGTTCAAATTCCACTGCGGCCACTTCACCATTATCACTGTGTGAATTTCGGAAAAGTGATGAACCTCTCTGAGTGAAATGGGGAAAACAGTGTGATGTGAGACTCAAAACACACTGCATGCATAAAAGAACCAGCAGCAAGTCCAGCACGGAGCAGGGCTCGGCAGGTGTTCCGCGGTGCCTGAATTAACTCGAGGTGAAGACTTATACAACAAAGATTTGCAGGCATGTGCTCCATGAGCAGCAGGTCCTGCTCGGATAGGTTACTGCATGGAAACCTCGCCCGGCCCAATAAAGAAGGGCCTTTTTTGTTTTTTAGACAGAGTCTCTCACTCTGTCACCGAGGCTGGAGTGCAGTGGCACGATCTTGGCTCCTGCAGCTTCTGCCTCCTGAGTTCAAGTGATTCTCCTGCCTCAGCCTCCTGAGTAGCTGGGATTACAGGCACGCGCCACCACGCCTGGCTAATTTTTGTATTTTTAGTAGATACAGGGTTTCACCATGTTGGCTAGGCTGGTCTCAAACTCTTGACCACAGGTGATCCGCCTGCCTCGGCCTCCCAAAGTGCTGGGATGACAGGCGTGAGCTGTACCCCGGCTTCGTCTCTGCCTTTGACCTGAGAGCAAAGCAAGTCACCTCCAGCTCTGTGAAGACAGTGCCATGCCTGACCCTGTTTTTTTTTGGAGGCAGGGTCTCACTCTGTCACCTAGGCTGGAGCACAGTGGCACAATCATAGCGCACTGCAGCCTCTACCTTCTGACCTCAAGCACGCCTCCTGCCTCATCCTCTCGAATAGCTGCGACAACAGGTACACAGCACCGTGCCTGGCTAGTTTTTCAATTTTTCGCAGAGACGGGGGTCTCACTATATGGTTCAGGCTTGTGATAAGCTCTTGATGGAAGGAGGTGCTTCTGGCTGGGCTGTGCCACCCCAGGTTGTGGGGTGCCAGGTGAACCAGGACAGGAATCAGGGCCTTGGGTCTCAGGCCAGGCTGTGGCGTGGCCTTGCTGAATCCTGTCACTCTCCTTGCTAAACAGCTATACTGGGCTCCGGTCCACGATTCAGATGGGTGGTCCTGACCACAGGGCCTACACAGCATCTGACTCACTATGTGGCCTCGGCAAGTCCTTGGCCGTCTCTGGGCCTCAGCTTCCCAGCCGTACAATGAGGTGGCGTAAGATTAGATCAGTATTTTTTCTTTCTTCTTTTTGTTTCTTAGGAGATGGGGTCTTGGCCAGGCACGGTGGCTCACGCCTGTAATCCCAGCACTGTGGGATGCTAGGGTGGGAGATCACCTGAGGTCAGGAGTTCCAGACCAACTGGACCAACATGGTGAAACCACATCTCTACTAAAATACAAAGTTAGCCGGGCATGGTGGCAGGTGCCTTTAATCCCAGCTAGTTGGGAGGCTGAGGCAGGAGAATCACCTGAACCCAGGAGGCGGAGGTTG